TGCACTGTGCCCTTCTTGTGACTTAGATTAGGGGGAAATCAGTGTCCCTCAACTCTGCTGTCTCTACCCCCACCCCCCAAATAGCCAGAAATGTTGACTGGCTTTGGGTCACATTTGGTTAGAAAAATCAGAAAAGTCTTCGTAAATCAGATGCATATGCTGTGGGCTGTGAAAGGGAGGGATGTTCTAGGCTGACTGCGCTCAGGGAAAGTGTTAGGGTTAGGCTTTCCGGGGCTGTCCACCACGGGAGCCGCATGGTAAGTGCAGGGGGAGAAAATCAGCTGATGTGGCTTCTCCACAGCTGCTCTTCGGAAGCTTGCAAGACTCCGTGTGGGAAAGGGGTGAGGTTTGGCAGCGCAGACTTGGGATGGGGACGGTTCTGGGACAGCAGGTCTTCGATGGGACGGCCAAGAGGGGAGATGTTCCCGCTTCTCTGGGCCCAGGCCGTGGGGAACAACCCCTCCAGGCCTCACTCGCGCACCGTCTCCGCAGATTACCTGTGAAACTCCACGGGGGCGCCGGGGTGGCTCTTTGGCCCAGGGCCTGATCCGGGGGTCTGAGTCCCTGCATCGGGCGCCCCGCTGCGTGGGGCGTCTGCCTCTGCCGCTCCCCCGTTGCATGTGCTCTCTCTCTCTGACAAATAAGTACATAAAATTTTCAAATTAAATAGTTTTTAATCATTTCATTGAGTACTTTAATCAACTCACTTCTATTTTTATTTATTTACTTACTTGAGAGGGAGAGAGGGCAAGCGGGGTCGGGGAGAGGGGCACAGGAAAAGGGGAAGAGAGAGTCTGTTTTTTCCTTTAAGATTTTATTTATTTATTTATTTATTTATTTTGGAGAGAGAGAGAGCGTCCCAAGCACTCTCCACGGTCCTCACAGAGCATGACGCGGGGCTCAATGCCAGGTCCCTGAGATCATGACCTGAGCTAAAATCAAGAGCTTGGCTGCTCAACCCCTGAACCCCCAGATGCCCCTCACGTCTTCTGTTTAAATACGCACACACTGGAGCCACCAGGGAAGAAACGGAGGACACCGCACAGCTGGAGTTTGGCCAAAGCCGGCGTCTGACCGCGGCGTCCCTGCGACCCGGGCTGGGGCTCACACGGCTGCTCCCGCTGCTCCAGGAAACCACAGTAGTGGCGGCCGATACCCCTGACTTGGTAAAAGACATAAACTTACAAGTTCAGGAACCGGAGCAAACCGCAGAGAAGGAAGCTTCTGAGAACTAAAGACAAAGACAAACATGTAAAGGCATCAGGAGAGACACTGACCTCCTGACTGGGTACAGGGAAGAACGTCCCAGTGGAAACCAGGGAGCCTGGAGGCGGGGCGGAAGCCTGGCCAAGCCCTGGACCCCAGCGGCGGTGTTAGGGTTCCGCAGGAACAGTGGAGAAACACAGACGTTATCACGGGGCAGAAAATCAGTTTGTTGCCCCAGACCTGTTCTAAAAGAATGACTGAAATAAGTTCTGGAAACAGAAAGGAAATGGGACAAGAAGGGGTCTTGGAATGTCAGGAAGAAAAAAGACGGGGCCACCTGGGTGGCTCAGTGGGTTAAGCCTCTGCCTTCGGCTCAGGTCATGATCCCGGGGTCCTGGGATCGGGCCCCGAGTCGGGCTCTCTGCTCAGCGAGGAGCCTGCTTCCCTTCCTCTCTCTCTGCCTGCCTCTGCCTACTTGTGATCTCTCTCTGTCAAATAAAATCTTTTTTAAAAAGTACCTATCTGTGTGTACACATATGGATAATACTTTATACATATTTAATGATACAGATGGGTCGAGAGTAAAAGGATGGACAAAGATAAGCCATGCAAGCTTTAATCGAAAGAAGATGAATGATGTGACTGTCCACGCAGACTCAGGAGCAGGCAGAGGAGCAGGGACGGAGGGAGGACTGTGACGGTAAAGGGGTCCCAGCAACCCTTAATATGTACATGACGAGCAACAGAGCTACAGGTTCCTTAAAAACTAGACTTGCGGGACGCTCCGTTGGTGAAGCGTCTGCCTTTGGTTCACGTCCTGATCCCAGGGTCCTGGGATGAACCCCGTGTCGGGCTCCCTGCTCGGCGGGGAGCCTGCTGCTCCCCCTGCTTGTGCTCGCTCTGTCCCTGACAAGTAAACAAATAAAATCTTTAAAATCTTTAATAAGAAGTAGACACGTGATTGCCATACCGTTCAGCCGCCACAGTGCTGGGCACGTATCCCGGGGAAGTGAAAACCCGTGTCCGTACAAAAATCTGCCACGCGTTTTCGCACTGGCTGCGTTCAGGACTTTTGGTTGTAAGTAGTCCCTGCCCCCAGCTTTGGGCTTGAACGCATGACCCCGAGATGAAGAACGCGCGCGCACTCCAGCAGCCGAGCCAGCCAGGCGCCCCCACAGTGACTTTATAAATAGCAAAAAATTGGTGACAGTTGTTAACAGACAATGTGGATGGACCTCGGGGTGTCGTGCTGAGTGAAAAAAGCCAATTTCAACGTCCCTGCGCTGTGATTCTGCTTGCGACATTCTCAAATGAGAGTGTTAGAAACGGCGATCTGTGATTGCCAGGGCTCCGAGAGGCCGGGCAGCGGTCGGGGAGCACAAGCGGGGGAGCGGCAGGCACAGGGAGAGGGAGAGGCAGGCTCCCCGCCGAGCAGGGAGCCCCATGTGGGGACCCAACCCCGTATCTGTAATTGGAAGATAAACAGTGGCCCCCACCCTGTGTGTGTGCATGCCACTTCCCCCCCATATAAATACACCTTTAAAATATATACATGTGACTACTAAAATAAAAATGTTCACTTAGGGGCACCTGGGTGGCTCAGTGGGTTAAGCCTCTGCCTTCGGCTCAGGTCATGATCTCAGGGTCCTGGGATCGAGCCCCGCATCGGGCTCTCTGCTCAGCGGGGAGCCTACTTCCTCCTCTCTCTCTGCCTGCCTCTCTGCCTGCTTGTGATCTCTCTGTCAAATAAATAAATAAAATCTTAAAAAAAAAAAAAGAAAGATCTTATTTATTCGTTGGAGAGAGAAAGAGCGAGGGCATGTGTGAGGCGGGGGCAGAGTCCCTGCTGAGCGAGGAGCCCAGGGGTCTCGGTCCCACAGCCTGAGCGAGTGAGCTACCCTGGCACCCCAAGAAAGAGCTTTTAATATGAGCAACTTTGCATTCTGACTCTCTCCGTTTCCCCTCCTTTGCCAGAGGAACGCACGTGTTCTCAATGCGCCCGACACCCTCTCCTTGGGGACGTAGTATCTGGGTCGCCGACCAAGCAGCCTGCCCGCTGGTGGAGCCTGACCCTGGTTTCGCTACGGCTCTTCCCCCAGCTGCTGGTCCAGACACTCTTGCCCCAGCTCCCCACCCCACGTCAGGTGCTTGGGTTTAATGAGGTCCCTGGTCATGAGTCACGGTTTGATCTCAGCATCCAACTCCTTACCGTGGACGGGCACGCCTTTTCTGACTTCCTGGACGCGGTGCTCAATCCCACGACCCTGAGATCATGACCTTGAGCCAAAATCAGGAGGTGGGCGCTCGGGGCGCCTGGGTGGCTCAGTGGGTTAAAGCCTCTGCCTTCGGCTCAGGTCATGATCCCAGGATTCTGGGATCAAGCCCCACATCGGGCTCTCTGCTCAGCGGGGGGCCTGCTTCCCCATCTCTCTCTGCCTGCCTCTCTGCCTACTTGTGATCTCTATCAAATTAAAAAAAAAAAAAAATCTTAAAAAAAAAAAAAAAGAGGTGGGCACTCAACGGACTGAGCACCCCAGAAGGCTACACACGGGTCTTCAAATGAATCATTTTAACTAAATCATTAGAGAAAAATAGTTGAAGTTAGGGAGTGAAAAGTTTATAGGGAAAAAGCAGTCTCTTGTCTCCTTGCGTCTTCCTTAACCCGTCCTTAGGGGGGCCACTCTGAGCCGCTGGCCTCTTCCTCAGGTACTCGCCACTGTCTGATCCCTGGCGTGTCCCCGTTCCCCAAGTCATGAGCTGTGGACCTTCTTTTCGGGTGGACAAGGGTTACGACTCACTCAGACCCACATAGTCCCTGCCATTTTCGCAGTGGAACACAAGTTCCATTCGTTAGGACACTGGCGTGGCTGTTTTAAAAGGACCTGGATAAGCAGTATCATGCCTTACGTGAGGCAGACAGCCCTGTCTTTCTCGTGTAATAAGGAACCCAAGGAGGGGCATTGGTCTTCGGCTGCCAGGGAGGGACCCAGGCGCTTGCTGTCCTGTGGCCTGGCCATCTGCAGAAGCCTTCCCTGCCTCGTTTTCCAAGGTGGTGCCTCCAGTTGGCTCCAAATCCCTCCCCTGCGTCTGGCCAGCAGGAGGCAGGGCTCCTGGCAGAGCTCACACAGGGCCCGTCCCCCCGCCATCCACCTCCTCCGCTGCCGGCCAGCGCGTCTCAGCTCATGGGGGACAGTCTGCGGGCGTTTGAGTGCTCAGGCCACGGGCTGCTCTAAGTGCTTCCTGTGGATGTGCACGTGCGGTCCGTCGAGTAGATCCTGATTTCCTTCTCCCAGTCAGGAAATGGGGGGCACGGTCAAGGCCAGGGGTCTGCCTCATTTCACACAACGAGCACGGGGCAGGGCAGGGACGCCAGAGCCGACCTTCACCTGTGGCAGGGGCCCATGATCCTCTGGGGGGTCCCCGTGAGGCGATGGCTTGGGCGTGTCCAGACTGTGGGTGGGGGTGCTTAGTTAATGTTTCATGGTGCCTCTATCTCCGCCGCGGCCGGCCCGGCCCTGCCCTGTGCTCCCTTGGCTGGCCCCGTCAGCAGGCAGGAGGTACTGGGGGTTAAGGGCACGCATGTCCCCAGCCTGCCGTGTCCCCACAAGCAGCTGGCCAGTCACAGAGGGACCTTCTTGGGCAGCGTCCGTGACGCTGTCCGTTGACTGAGTGTCTCCTTCCTGGGCTGAGGGTCGCAGGTGTGGCCGCGTCCAGGCAGGGAGCCCGGGAACGGCAGAGCCCTGCAAGGCTGTCAGGGCGGCCGCCGTGTGACTGTCCCTGTTTTGTTGACACAGTGACCGGGAGTGCAGCTCTGGGATGTGCACGTGAGGATGGACAGCAAGGACCTTGAGGCCGAAATCCACCCCTTGAAGAATGAAGACAAGAAACTGCGGGTGAACGTGGGAGACCCGGTGAAGGCGGAGGAGAGCTCGAAGGGCTCGCCTGGGCAGCCCCGCCTGTCCCGCTGCCGCACGGTGGCCTTCTTCCTTTCCCTGTTTGTCTGCCTTTTTGTCGTGTTCGTGGTCTCCTTCATCATCCCGTGTCCGGACCGGCCGGCGTCCCAGGGGGTGTGGAGGGTCGACTACAACGCAGCAGGTGTGTCCAGGCGTCTGGGGGGGTCATGACCGAGACGCGGCCCCACGTGGCTGCCGATGGCGCGTCCACGGTCTCGGGATGTGGGGGAGCTGCGGGGCAGCGTCTCGGGGAGAGCGGAGCACAGTGGCCTGCTTTGCATTTTAGGAAGGATGGGCTGTGCCCATAAAGGGATGGGGCTCATTTGGTTCTGTTTGGGGGTTTTAAAATAAAGCAGAGCCGCTGGAGGGCTGGGGAGAGGGAGGTCAGTGGCGAGCCGGGAGAACCGCAGGCCGCCTCGTCTGGTCCCCTCGAGTGCCGGTGCAGGGGGACGAGCAGACCCGTTTTTCCCCCTGAGATTGGCATGCAGAGCCACCGAGTCGGCCTCTGTCTGGACGCTTGTCATCCTAGAGTGGGAGCGCCAGCGCCCACGGCCTTGAAATGGGTCTTTCACATGCTGGCGCACGGGTCGTGCCGTGAAGGGCCTTTCTTGTTTCAGCCTTACTGTCACTTTGGTTCAGAACTTGATGCTTCATTTTGAGAGAGGAATGATGGATGTTTCTGTGTGTATTGCTTGCAGCTTTTATTGACTCGGTATGTCAAAATACTCACTTGTTTTAGGTGTATGATTCGATGATTTTTAGTTCATTTGTGGAGCGGCCCAGTCCATTGGAGGCGGTCGCCATCGTCTCGGCCACCTGCTGCCTTCTGCCTCCAGTCTTGCCTTTGGTGGACACGTCACAGAAAGGGAAAGATGTGACGTGGATCTTTGAGTCCGGCTTCTCTCACCGAGACCGGTCTGTCGGGGACAGCGTGTCCCCTGGTTCTCTCTGGGGCTGAGCAGCCTTCCTCCCCGGGGTTCATGCAGCCGCGGGCTGCCAGGGTTGTGTGGGGACATAGGAGCAAGAGCTCTCACCGTCTCATTTTCCGGATCTCTCCGCTCACTTTCCCACTAGTCCCCGGCTGTTGTCTGCTGCTCCGTGTGTCCCCGCCTGCATCTGGCTTCAGAGCCGGCCTTCCCTGTTTGCCTGGGAGATCACCGTCGCCTGGACATCTGGCTGCCAGTCCCATCCTCCCCCTCGGGCGGGGAGGCCGCTGGCCTCTGCCCTGCCCCTGGTCTAGTGCCCTGCCGTGGGGGCGAGAACGGCAGGAACCGTAAGACGCCGGACGCTGCCTGTCCCGACCCGGGGCTTGGTCTTCTTCCTCCGTGCTGCGCCTGGGGTCGGCTCCCGGAGTCCTGGCCGGGCCGCTTCTGACGGCGGCGTCTCGTGTCTCTGTTCCAAGGGAGAGGACTTGCCGCGCTCTCCCCTCCATGATTCTGCAAGCCCCGAGTCTGGTGTTTGAGTTCCGGTTTAAATCCTAGTGAGACGGACTTCGTGGACATTGAATTAAAGAGCGTAATTCACGGGCCTCAGTGCGTGGGCAACACTGTGTGACCGTCACCGCTGTCTCTGAACCGTCGTAAACCCCCTCCTCCCGACCCCCCAGCCTCTGGTCCACGCTCGTCTGAGCTGGCCGATTCCAGGGGCTCCGCACGAGCGGGTCCCTGCAAGACTTGCCCTGTGTGTCCCGCCGGTTTCGACGGCGTTCCTCCGCGCCTGGCACGCGCCCGAACCTCCTTCCTCTCTGCGGGGCAGCAGCCGTGTTGTGCGTGGACTGCTCTCTGGAGCCGCATCTCTCTGTCCGTGGACACGTGGTTTGTTTCTGCTTTTTGGCGCCCGTGCATGATGCCGTGAGCTGGCTGTCGGGGCCCGAGTCCCTTCTTCCAGTTACTGTGGGTAAAGGAGTACGAGGTCGTGTCTCGTTGCCAGTTTGACTTGCGTTTCCCTAATGGATGGTGGCGTTGAGCGTCTTTTCGTGATTGTTTATGTGTCTCCGTAGGAGAAACTCCTGTGCGGGTCCTCCTGTTTGCCTCGGGCTGTCTTTGCAGCGGAGCGGTTCCGCCCTCTCTGCCCCGGGTCGTCCCCGGTCGGACGCAGGGTTCGCAGACGTTCTCTCCCATTCTGTGGGGCGGCTCTTTGCTCTCCGGACAGTGTCCGTTGGTGCACAAAGGCTTTAAATTTGGAGGGACTCCAGCCGGTCTGTGTTTTCTTTGGTGTCACATCCAAGAAGTCCTTACTAAATCCAATGTCATGAGGATTTTTGTCTCTGTTTGCTTCTAGAAGATCCTAAGTTCAGGTCTTTGATCCACTGTGAGTTCATTCCTGTTTTGCTTTTTAAAGATTCTGTCAATTTTAGAGATAGAGGAGGAGTAGGGGGGTAGGGACAAGCAGACTCGGACTTAACCGACCGAGCCCCCCAGGCGCCCCTTCGTTGGTTTTTGTATATGGGGGAAGCCTAGCTTCACCCTCTAGTGCCTGATCGTCAGACTTGGAGTTTCTCTTGAGTCCTTGAAGGAAAGGGAGAAGCGACCCTTAGCGTGGGTGTGCAGACTCCCAGCGCCCAGACGGGTGGGGGGGCCCTTCCTGAAGAGAAGGTGTGCAGAGCGTGTGTTTGTCGGTCCTGCCGCCCGCCGTGTTCTGGGGAAGCGGGAGCTGCGGGCGCCCACCCTCGGGGAGCCCCGGTGGACGGGTCCGGCATGGCCCGAGAATACTCCACTGTTTTCTCTTCCAGTCACTTACGACTTTCTGGCTACAGAAGACATCAACAGGGACAGGATCCAGGATGTTCTCTTTCTTTACAAAAACACCAACGGTTCCAACAATTTCAACTTGTCCTGCACCGACGAAGGTAATTTTGCTTTTACCTGAGAAAGGAGGAACTTGCTGTGGGTGGAGGGGTTCTCTCCCTCTGCCGTCTCTGGGGGATGTGGTTGGGGGAATTTCGGGAAACGGGCACATTGCCCCTCCTTCCCGGGAGGACTACAAAGAAATGGGGGCAGGCCATGGTCCCAGCACCCGGGCCCCCCCACCGCCCCCCCACAGCTCCCGACGCCGTGGGGCCAGCCAGGGTTCCCCTATGGGGCCAGTGGTCCGGGCTGGACCTGGGAGCGGGGATGGGGAGGGGATGGGGAGGGGCTGGCGTGCCCACAGAGCTGGGTCTCTCCCCTCCAGGCTTTTACTCCCCCTGTACCTTTGTGGCCGCCGTGTCCGGGGCCAACGGCAGCGTGCTGTGGGAGAGGCCCGCGGCCCAGGATGGAGCCCTTGTGCAGTGCTCCGTCCCCCAGCTGCAGGGCGGCCGGATGTCCTCTGCTTGCATCCTAGTGGGCAGACCCGGCTCCTTCGTTGCCGTGGACTTGTTCACAGGTAGGCAGAGCCCCCCGGGGAGCTCCCACGCCAGGACGCTCTGAGGGGGTTCAGCCTATATTCTTGGGACCGGCAGACACAGTGGGGAAGAGGTTCCAGGGATCGGAGGGAGGGGTGCCACCTCCTGGCAGTCCCACTCCCGCCCCACCCCGTCTTGTCACCACCCAGCTCTGTTGTGCTTGCCCGCAGAGATGGGGGTGGGGGCGGGGGAGCCCCCAGACCACACCAGGGGCTTAAGGAATTCTGTGCCTTGACGCCAGGCGCGGAGATTACCAGCATGTCCCTTACCAGTCATGCTTTTAAGGTTATAGAGGAGAATAAAGAACAGGCTGGAAATATTTTAAGAAGAGGCATTCGTATTAGAAGGGGTGTGGGCAAGGTCATGTCTGGGTCAGAAAGAAGCTGTTATGTCCGGGCTGCTGTTCCGTGGGTGAGCCATGAGCACACACCTTCCTTTTCACCTTCCGTGCACGGGACCCACCCAGTGCCTCCCTGAGGCCTAAGGGCCCCCTGTGACTCCAGCAAGTCAGGGGTCCTGAGGGGCTCGGGCAGTGTTGCACTCATGCTGGGGGGTCTGTGTTGCCCTGAGATGTTGTAGAGCCGAATGGGAGAAACACACCAGGAAGGTGGAGCTTCGTGGTTCCAGAGGCCACAGGTCTCACGCTCTGGCGTGTGACAACGCTGTTCAACGCCCAGTGCTGGGCACCTGCGCTGGGCTCTGGCCTCCTGCCAGCGGGCACGCCCATCTGTCAGGGTGGGCACCAAGCCGTCGCCAGCCCACACCGGTGGGATCCGGCGCCAGCACCTGGTGACGCCATGCTTGGTTTTAGGGGAGACCCTGTGGAGCCACCCCAGCAGCTTTGGAAGGAACACGTCCGTCCTGAGCTCTTTACTCCAGCTGCCCGACGTGGACGCGGACGGGGCCCCGGACCTGCTGGTTCTCACCCAGGAGGAGAAGGAGGTACCGCTCCCCTCCCAGGTCGCCATGGCCACTCACCACGAGGCCACTTCTCTGCCCCTCCTTCACGTTCACTTCCTGGGCACAGCTTGGGTCTGAGCCTTGGTCGGGGGACGTGCCCGGGACGCCATGCTCCCGGCCTCTGCTGCCCAGCACGCCGGGGCGGCTCCTGGAACTCCCCAAGAACAGCAGAGCCTGCCCTTGGCCGCAGCACGGAGAGCGGGGCCCCACAGGCTGGGAGGGCGTGAGGACACCTGCGTCCACACAGGCGTTCTTCCTCAGACTGGGCCGTCTTGACGCCCTCTCCGCGTCACAGGTTGGCGGCTACATCTACTCAGGCAGCACCGGACGCCAGATTGGCCACCGCGGCAGCCTCGGTGTGGGCGGGACCACAGGCTCTCTTGTCCATGTCACCCGGGCCGGTGCCCCCTACATCCTTTTCCCTTGCGGTAAGTGGCACCCGCCGTTCCAGGGACTGTATGTCTGGTGGAAGCCAGTGCGGAGTGGGAGGTAGGCAGGGACCGTGGGAGGACACAAGTTCGCTACCGCCAGGCCCATAGAGCCGGAGGGTGTTGGCGGCCAAGGCTCAGGGAGGGCGTCGTATTCCGGCAGCCGTGGGTGGCCTCCTCCTGGCCGGCAGTGGCTCAGGGTCCCCTGTGTTTCCAGCGGCAAGCTCCCTCTGCGGCTGCTCTGTGAAGGGTCTCCATGAGACGGCCACCGGGAGCCGGAGCCCACTGAAGAGAGACCCGCGCTGGGAGGGCGCGCTGAACGCCAGCATCCCCGGGCCGGTGTGGCGCAGGTCGGTCCGGACGGGACTGCACAGGGCAGGGGGCCAAGGGATGCGGCCCTGCCTGCTGCCAGGCTCAGACGTGGGGAGGAGCCCCACAGAAGCTGGGACAGAGCCCATGGGGGCCCACTGAATAGCGGGTATCCCACCATGTCTGCACACAGCCAGCATCTTGTACCCTAGACCAGAGAAGCAAGGGACACAGGGTGACGGCTCGGCCCAGCAGGCGGTCACGTCCCCACGATATCCCTCCGGTCCTCTCCCCTCAGCCCCGGAGCCCTCCGCTATCTGATGAATGTTCCAGGGAAGGCCGGTGAGGACCTCCTCCTGGTGGGCGCCGAGGCCTGTGTGCTGGTCGACGGGCAGGATCTGACGCCCAGGTGGACCTTCCACGCAGCCCAGGTCTTCAGGTGCGTCCTCCTCCAGAGACCGGCCAGGCTCACACGCTGGCCCTGCAGCCTGTCCCTGGGCAGCCCTGGGATGAGGCCTGTGCGGATAAGGGAGGTCTCTGTGTGTTGGCCAGAAGCTTCCTGCCTGTTCCCTGGTGTTGCACCGCCCAAGAGGGGCTGCTGAAACCTCTCCCCCCAGCCCCAGCTTCCCGTCCAGGCCCCGTCTGGGTGCAGCCAGGGAGCAGGTGGCTGGTGTGCCCATTCCTGGGCATCTCTGCACAGAGGGCCCGTGTGAGCTCTTCTGCCCTTTCCTTGCAGAAAACCCATCCTTGGCCACTACAAACCTGACACCTTGGCTGTGGTCGTTGAGAACGGAACCAGTGTGCACAGACAGGTTGGCCGCACCCCCTTGTGAAGCCCACCAGGGTTCATAGCTGACGGACCCCGGTCTGAACGTGGCTGGGGCGGCGCTGGGAGGCCGGGCTAGCACCAGAGGGGCCGCAGCCAGACGGCCTGCTTGCCCTCAGGGCACAGCTCCTTCAGGGCTGGCCTGGCTGGAGCCTGAAGCCCCTGTAAGCCCCGCCTGTGTGCCCTGTGCTACCCCCACCCCCAGATCCTGTTCCTGGACCTCAGCACCGGGGCTGTCCTGTGGAACCAGGCCCTTCCAAGCCTCCCCGGGGATCCGCAGTCCGCCAGCCTGCTGACCGCAGACCACCGCTCCGCTTTCTTCTTCTGGGGCCTCCACGAACTGGCAGGCACCAACCAGACAGTACGGGCAGGGCAAACGCCCATGACGGGGCCAGAGACCAGAGGCTAGCCATGGGTCCTACCTTGAGGCTCCTGAGAGCTAACTGGGTGACTGGGGGTGCACACATCAGAGAAGCCATAGGACAGCGGGTGAGATGAGGCACCCTGGACCACAAGGGAGGCTGGGGATCTGGGAAGAAGTGGGGGTCAGTGGGGGAGGGCAGGTACGGAATTCCAGATGGAACGTGCGTGAGAAGGGTCCGGGTAGGGGAAAGGAGGAGAAGGTGGACGCACAGTTGGGATCCCGTGGACACAGCCAGCCAGGTGTCCTGAGCGGGCACGCACAGCCTGGCCCCAGCCCTGGGCACGTGGGTGTAGGGTCTGGGGCGAGCTCGGTGCACCATGTGCCCCACCACGCATTCCTGCTCCAGGAGCCCGGAGACACCCGGCACAGCCTCTACATGTTCCACCCGACCCTGCCTGGCGTCCTGCTGGAGCTGGCCAACGTCTCTGCCCACATCGTGGCCTTCCAAGGTGAGTGTGGCCCCTGGGGGTTAGGGCTCCAACGGCCGTCCGGCCGCTCTGGCCGGTCCCAGCGCCCTGACCGCCCACGTCTCCCACAGCCGTCCTGTTCGAGCCAAGCCGCCATGCTGCTTGTGTCCTGCTGACGGGCCCCACGAGCCCAGACACGCCTGGCACGGTCTCCGTGGCCAAGCACAAGGTGCGGGACCTGGTCCCGAGTAGCAGGGTGGTTCGGCTGGCTGAGGGTGGGCCCGACAGTGACCAGGCTGTCCGGGACCGGTTCTCCCGCCTGCGGTACCGGAGTGAGGCCTAGAGGCCTGCGGGCCACACACGTGGAGGGGCTGCCAGCATGGGACGTCGGGTCTATCACTTGGTTGCACTGATTCCCCTACTCCTGACCCCGGGGTTCCCGTCCTACCCAGGGACGTGTATGGGTGAGCGGATGCCCAGGCCTCTCCCCTCTCCTGCGCAGCACATCCCCACAGGTCCTCACTCTGTCCACTCTAACCACTGGGGTTACACTCAAGGCCACCTGTCCTCATCGCAGTGTCCCTGGGCCCTATGGCACCAGCCTCACCGCATCCACACCTAGCGGGAGGGACTGTGGCTTTGGGAAGAGAGCCCAGTCCTGAGAAGTCCCCTCGCTCATTCCTGTCTGCACATCCCCCAGGGCCTACGAGGGTGGCAGGCCTGGGGTGGCCTCGGGGCAGCAGCTAGAGCTCCCGGCCTGTCCCAGAGCAAGGAGGGGGGACCCTGTACTGGGCAGTGGACGCTTGCCCTGGGGTTCCCCTTTGATACCCGTGAGGAGGGGGGCTGCCGTGCAACTGCGAGGCTGTCCTGCTGCTCACGGGTGCCCCCAGGGCATCTCCGTCCCGTGTTGGCTGCGTGTGCTGTCCTGAGGAACTGGGCGGAGGGCGCACTCGGGGTCCGCGTGCACCCCGTCCGTACACACTGGAGCTGCTTATCCCACGGGGGTCCCCACACCCCCGTCCCGTGCCTGGCCTTCTCCTGGTGCTCGGACACCCCAGCAGTCGGTGTCCCCTGATGCAGGACTCACCTTTGTGCCTTGCTATGGTGCTCTGTGTGTCTCACTGTGCCCTGACGACCCCGGGTACCGCAGGAGGAAACCAGAATAAACGGTTCGCACTGTCTGAAAGGGCACGCGTGTGCCTCGTGTGCCTGCGCCGCAGGGGGAAAGGGGAGGTGGTGTTGGCCAGGCTTCTGGAAGAGGTGGGGGACCCTCTACCCGCCCAGTCGGAAACGGGGCCCCGAGGACTTCCTGCAGGGCCTCTGAGTGCAGCTCGGGTTTAAGGATCCCTCTGTGGTCACCCTGGTTCAAGTCAGGGACCCGGCGTGGGGACACGGGTGCACTCCCTCGGGACAGGCAGGGGTCCCTGAGCACCCGTGTCCTCCAAGGGCAGCTGCAGGCGGCAGGAGTCCGGCCAGTGGCAGAGGGTTGGTGCTTCGGGGAGACAGAGCTTTGGGACCCCCGTGCAGAGGCCGGCAGTGTAGGGAGGCCCCCCTGAACTACCTGTGCCTCTGGACGGGAGAAGCCGGTCTCCCAGCTGCACAGACGCCTGCAGCTGGGGAGCCCTCTGCCGGGAGCAGGACCCCGGTCGCTGTGGAAGCTGCTGCCTGGCCCACGGCGTCGGACCAGCAGGACTGCGGCAGCACCCCTCGGCCTCCCAGGCCCACCCTGCAGGTCCTGAGATCACAGGCCGGAGCTCGAGCGGCGCCTGGGAGATGCCCGCGCTGCCGGGCACCGTACACCCTGGACCTGCGGACGCGGCAGCCATCCCACGGCCCCTCCGGGGCTCTGCACCCAGCCGGGTTTCCTGCGCCCCAGGCCTCAGTTGGCCAGACACGCTGGGCTGAGCGCCAGGAGCCTCCTGTCTCCCGTGACCTCCCGGGACTCCATGTCCAGACTCCCCTGGAGCACCCTTGTCCAGCCGGAGCACAGACGACGTTGCCTGCCGTCTCCTCCGAAGACCACCGGGGCTGCAGCCCCAGTCCAGCCTGGAAGCTGGGTCCCTCCTCTGCCATGGACCCACCACATGACACTCTCCGTGACCCGCGCCTCAGATCCCCCAACTTCCCCCAGTGTCTGCCACCACTGCCCAGCTCGCACACGCCTCACACCAAGTGGCCCACGCACACCACGCCTGCCTCACGCCTACGGTGTGCCTCACATGCACACCATGTGCCTCACACACCGCCTGCCTCATGCCTGCCACGTGCCTCTCACACCACACACGCCTCGTGTGCCACACGCATCACACACGCTCCACTCATGCATACCACTGCAACCACAATCCACAATTCGGACAACAGGGTGGACTCAAGAGTGACGGCCAAGGGTCTTTTATTTCCGGGTCGGGTGTGAGTGGGAGTAGGATGGGTGCCTCCCCCGGCCTGATAAGAGCTGCACCCCAAGAGACCAGCTACACCTCCCCCCGGGTCTGGCATGCCCCCCTTCCCCAAGGAGTCCACCTGCCCTGGCGTGGTCCTGTCCTGGCCGTGAACGGGGACCGGCTGTCCCAGGTGATGCACTGGAGTCAGCTCTGCCTCACACGCGAGGCTCCAGGGGAGCCCCAGCCTCGAGGACACCCACTGGAGGTGTCCCTGCGGGAGGAGGTCTGGGACGTGCACAATGACGGCCACAGTGTGGGCAAGACCCATGAGGACGGGCTGGAAGGCTGAGCACGGCCCCAGCGGAACTGGGGATATGCTGTGGGGTCCCCGCAGGGTCACGCCGGGCAGAATGCTATGGGTCCATCTGCCCATAAGTGTCACCTGCTGGAGGCCACCCGCCATCCCGCCAGCAGACCATAGAATGCCAGGGGCTTCGTGTGGCCAACCCTGCTTGGCCCCCCTCATCCTCCCTTCGTCCAGGTGACCCGAGCTCAGGGACACCTCTTCCCAGGAATCAGCCCCTTCGGGGGAGGGGAAGGCTTGACAAGGGAGAAGGTGAGAGCCCAAGAGCCCCATGGGCACAGGGGCAAGGCTGGGCCCTCTGGGGACTAGGGGACGCCCATGCCAAGGGTCTCGAGAGCTGCCAGGACCCCAGGTCAGCGGTGAGGATGGCCACACCTCTCCTGCGATCTGCCCATCTAGGTGCCCCCGTCACCACAGTCAGGGCCACTGGCCGTGGTCACAGGCTCCCCAGAGGGGGAGGCAGGAAGGAGAGCAGGGCTGGGGTTTGCATGAGGCAGTTTACGCATAAACGGGAACACCCTGTGGACGAGAGGGGACCTGAGCGCGGGGCGGCCGTGAGGGTCCTGCCCGCTTCACTGCCCGGGCACAGGGCACAGCCAGGCTCACCGTCTCTTGGCCTCTGGGGGAACCACGGCTTCTGCCAGCAGGTCTCTGTAGGCGGCGGACTTCAGGAACCTCGGGTAGGAGTCCTAAGAGAGAAGGCATTCAGCCAGCTTCCGCTGGGCTCCCGCCTGGCACTGCTGGGCCCTGCCAGCCCCAGAGCACCCCTAGGGGACGGCGCTGGAGGCAGCCGTCCCAGACCTGCCCCAACCAAGTCAGACAGATGCAGGGACACCTGGGCTCCGGGACAGTGGGCCCATTAACCCTCAGAAGGTAGGCAGGGGCCCAGCACCCACGCACGGAGGACTGAACTACGGAACCCCAAGCAGGAAACCCCAAGGAGTGCCTCCCCGGGTTCTCGATGCACCTGCAAGTGGGAGGGCAAGGAAACGGAGCAAAATAAAACACAAGGTTGAGGGGCACCTGGGTGGCTCAGTGGGTTAAGCCTCTGCCTTTGGCTCAGGTCATGATCTCAGGGTCCTGGGATTGAGCCCCACATCGGGCTCTCTGCTCGTTGGGGAGCCTGCTTCCCCCTCTCTCTCTCTGCCTGCCTCTCTGCCTACTTGTGATCTCTGTCTGTCAAATAAATAAATAAAATCTTTAAAAAAAAAAAGGGTAACAATCATTTTAAAAAAAAAAGAGGTCAAGAAAAACCATATGGTATCCAATAAAGAGAAAGCCGTGAACCTCCTTGTTTATATTTTTTAAAAAATACAAACTTTAAACAGTTAATTTCAGTAGGAAGACGAAGGAAGACTGGGACAGAACTAGATGTATTGGAAATGTACCTTCTTTATAGACTGGATTTTAGACCCATGTAGATGCTTCACATAATCACAAAAGGAAACAATGAACCATCAGCTCCCGAACGTGGAAGGTACAGTGGGACGAGCGTGCGTCCGGGCGGTGACGCCACCCTGAGCACAGGTAAGGCAGCGGAGCCATCCACAGGGCATCCCCAGGAGGGGACACATACGGGACCCGGCGAAGCACGTAACCGTCGTGCGCGGGTTTACAGCGCACGGGAGCGCGGGGTCGTCCGGCCAGGACACCGGGGGAGAGGGGGAGAGCAAGCGCGTCACTACACCTACGCTGCTGGGAACCAAGATGTCCAGTGGGTTAGTGAGAAGATGACGGAAGCCCGCGCCCAGGAGCTCTGCACACCTGAATCTGAATGAGCCGTGCCCGTGGGAGCCCATGTTCTACCGAAAACCCTGTACTTCTGGTTCTGTTCACTGAAGCACCTGGACGCAATCCGGGCGACCGCGAACACGCCCAGCAGGTCGAGATTTCTAAAGAGCCTAGAAGAGGGGCCAGGGCCACCCCTGGGAACGGCGCAGGGAGGCCTGGACAAGCCACTGCAGGTCTCGGAACACATCAAGAGCCTCGAGAGCCAACGGGGGTCGGGGATGGGGGGCTCCGCACAGCAAGGCAGAGGGAGAACCACACCATCCGGCAAGAGCGTGGACGGACCGTGGTGTGAAAACTACCTCCCACTCACTGACCCCCTGGCAGGCGGGGCGACTCCAAGTCACGACTGAAAAGTGGAGAAGGAATCACGCGTTGACTGTGCCTCCCCTGGGGGACCGTGGGCAAGGCGCAGACGAGGGGACACGCCTCCGCGACACACGCCAGCTCACCAACAGAGGCAGGGGCAGCGGCTCCTCACCCGGGCCAGCCACCGTCGGGCGGCTCGCATCCCCGAACGGGAGGCGGCCGGGCCCCACGTACGTCCTGATGAGGACATGCCAAACACCACCTCTGAAGAAACCAAAGACGGTGCAACTAACAGTGAGCCTGATCCAGTCGAGACATCACCACCCACGTCCAGGAAGCGAGGCCACAGAGTCCCTCCAAAGACACGGCAAGAGCCCCACTGTTAGGACCCAGATGTGAGGCATGACAGGACAAAGGGAGGCCAAGGGGCCAGCAGGACGACCAGAGGGACCGGCTGCACAGGCTACGCTGCTGACGACAGGGCCTCAGGAGTGGCCGCTCACCGAGGAGCAGCGTCCCCAGCAGCCGGGAGGGCAGGGAACGTGACCGGCCCCCCAGAGCCTCCAGACAGAGCCAGCGCACCCACACCATGACCGTCGCCCCAGGAGACCCGGCGGGGACGCCTGACCGGCACACTGCGACGGAACCAGATGGTGCTGTCCTAAGGCCCTGGGTTTGTGGTGACATGTTACAGGGACGATCGGACGCCAAGCAGAGCCTGTTCAGACCCCAACCAGCTCTTCGAGGACATGAGCCAAATACCCTGTGTTCAGTGTGTGATGCTGACACCTGGGTCCCGCTGGAAGGGGAAGGACAGGGCCATGTCCTTTAGGGGATCCTGACCACACACAGAGACAGGAAGTCTGAAAATGGCACAAGAGTCACAGGGTGGGGGGCAGCAGGCAGGGATGGATGAGGGGTCCGGACGGGCCCCAAGCTGACCGGTTTGGAAGTCAGGCAGCAGGATTCACCATGTCACTATGTCTGCTTTACATCTGGAATCTTCCATGTTACGACACTTATAAAAAGCAGCAGCAGAACTCCGGGTCGGCCCGCGGGACCTCAGTCTGCAGGTGTCCACTGACGGCAGCTGGGGTCAGGGAGCAGGGGTCGGGCGGCCGCCCCTTGCTCACCTTCTTCATCAGCATATAGACGTGCAGCTGGGCCTCATCCAGCACGTAGCGGTGGGGCTGCCGCAGCCCCTCCAGGGTCCGCTCCATCGTCCGACTGTCGATGTTGACCCAGCGGGCAGCACCGGGGGCCAGGAACTGCCTGTGTCGGTGCAACAGGGGCGTGCGAGGAGACAGGCCCGAGGCTGCCGGCCCCGCACACCCGCCAGTCCCCGCCCCGCGGCACTCACTGGTATATGGCATCCACCGCGGCGCGAACCTGGGCCTGCCCTCCGTGGCGCAACTCCTCGCACGCCTCCCAGAAGCTGAGGTTCTCAGCTGGAAGGCCACGAGCCCAGTGAGGCCCACCCGAGCGGTGGCCGGGCCTGGCAGAAACCCAGAGGGGCCTCGAGCAGCGCACAGCGCTTCTCACCGCTGAACTCGGTCCCGAGGAAGTCCATGAAATGGGCCCGTCCCACAGGATCTTCCAAGAGCTCCTGGAAGCTGAAAGCCCATCGCTCCACACGGAGCTTCGTGGGCACAGCCACACTGTGGGGACAGGCGGGGGCTGGTGAGGAGCACAAGGACTGCCGGCGGGACGGCAGGGCCCCCTGACCCCCACCCCCTGGGCTCACCTGGGTGCATTGAAGGTCCAGTAGGTGTCATCGTCGGTGACCCAGGGGTTGCTGGGCAGGCAGCCTGACATCATGGGGTCGTGTGGCCCACGCTGGCTGCTGAACTTCAGGTACCTGGGGGTGGGGGGCTGTGCCAGGGGCCAGTGCTGGGGGAGGCCGTGGGGACCAGGGCCCTAGAGGAAGGGTCTGCACTCCGGGCCCCCCAGCCCACTCACGCCTCCAGGCAGACAGACGACTTCACCCGGGCCCTGGTCAGGGCCTTCCTGCAACGCTCCATCTAGGACGTGAGACCCATGAGATGAGGCCCGGGCTGGGGGTCAGCCAGCCCAGGCCCCTCCCTCCCACCCACCCCCAGAACTTACCTCCTGCTTGTAGAACTCTGTGTTCTTGGTCTGGAAGGGGCCAAAGGGGCTGCAGTTAGAAGGTGGGCCCTGTGGGGACCGACCACCCACCCTGGGCTCATGAGTCCATCTTTGGGCTGGTGGAGAACGGCTCAAGCCCCCTGTCTTGCCCCGTGAAGACTCCTCCTCTAATGGAAGGTCTGGCTTTCCAAGAAGCATCTGGAGCCTCTAGATAAGGTTTCCAGAATGTCCCATGGAGCCCACAGGTTGTTGAAGTCACCTTATAGTCCCCAATTGTCCCTACTTCCTATTTTTCTAATGTATCTAGGTCATTTTTTTTAAAACCAGCAGATACACGAGAGATCCAGCTGCAGGATCACAGTGGGGGACTCCATCTTGCTAACTCGCGCTCAAAGTCATCCCATCATGTTCAGAGCTCAGAGCCCGCCTGCCACAACCTCAGGGCCAGGTGGATGGGCTGGCCCTGCCCAACACCCACACAACCGTCAGGATGCCTGGGATGCCCAGTGCTGGTCTTGGCTCTCTTCGGCCGACCTTATCATGAGGACATTCCAAACCCGTGACCGTGAACTACAACTTCAAAGGAAAAGTTTTATCTATAAGGCACCGGGTATTGTATATTTTGCGCTTTGTGAGATTGGAACAGAGACCTGCTACCAGGTCTGAACACGTCTGTCCAGAGGTCATCGGAGGCCTTGGAGGGAGGTGGCTGCCTCAGCCCGGGCCCCTCAGGCCCATCCATGGCTCTGCGGGGTGTGTCTCCAACTCCCCGAGACCCTGAGGCTATCCCAGCCAGGGAAGAGCTCCCACCCTTCCCAGAGCCCCATCACATTTACAGGCACCCACCGTAGCAGGTTGGGGAGACAAGAGGTGAGGGTTAGCAGAGACCTGGAAGTGGGGGTGCAGGCAAGGGCGCATGATGCCAGGAGCAGAGCAGGGCCTCTGGGTGTCAGGGTCAGGCGCCGTTGGGACGGATGGTTGGGCAGCCCCCGCATAGGGTGGGGAGACATGTATGCAGGGGTGGAGGGGTGCGGCCTGGGGGCACGTGGGCAGGGCCTCACCATCTGCACTCCCCCAGCAGTGCAGGAGCTGCGCTCTGGACCCTGCTCCAGGACACTGGGGACACCCGGCTGCAGAAGAAGGCCGAGATGGGGTAGGGTCCAACCCAGGTGGGCTGCCAGACCCACCTCAGCCTTGGGCTTCTGCCCCTAGCTCCCCCATCAACTCTGCACCCGTACGTCATTCTGTAACATGGAAACCAGCCATTGGAGAAGGGCAGAGTCTGAGCCCCTCCCTACCCATCCCACCCCCACGGGGACCTCCCCTCAGGCCAGCTCACCTCCCCACTGTGCTCCTGATTGCTCATACCACAAGCCAAACCATCCCTCTTCTTTCTTCTTTAAAGTAGGCTAGATGCCCAGTGGGGCTCCAACTCATGACCGGAGACCCAGAGCTACACTCTCCTAACCGTGCCAGCCAGGCACCCCTCTCACCACCCGTCTTGGGGCAGCCATGTGCCCCGCAACTGGCCATCCCGTCCTCCAACACATGTGCTGGGCTGGCCCCCCTCCGCAAGGACGGCCCTTATGCCTGCTGACCCGGAGGCTCCAGCTGCCATTCCCAGGGCCCTCCACTTGGACCCTCAGCCACAGACACAGCCTGGGGGCCACGTCCACTCCACCCTCCTGCCCCCGATCCCCCAGATAGCGCTCAGGCGGAAGATGACCCATCACTTTCCCAGAGACAGCCCCACCCTAACCCAAACATACACAACCCACGTGAGCTACTGGGCCCGTGCGGGGCTCGCTCTTTTCTTCCCCGTGGATTTATCCCACAGGAACTTCCCCGCGTGGTAGCTGGGACTGCCCCACAGCCCCACCCAGCAGGGGGACTGCAAACCTCCCGCCCAGACCATAGTTCTGGGGAAGGCCTAACTGCAGGCCAGCACCCCCAGAAGTTCCTGGCCTGTGACCCCAGCCCCTCAGTGCTATCAATAAGCCTGGCCCCACTTTGCCCCCGCCCTTACACCTCAAAGAAACTGGTTTCTTGGGGCACCTGGGTGGCTCAGTGTGTTAAAGCCTCTGCCTTCTGCTTAGGTCATGGTCTCAGGGTCCTGGGATCGGGCCCTGCATCGGGCTCTCTGCTCAGGGGGGAGCCTGCTTCCCCCTCTCTCTCTGCCTGCCTCTGATCTCTCTGTCAAATAAATAAATAAAAATCTTAAAAAAAAAAAAAAGGAAAGAAAGAAACTGGTTTCCTGTGGTGTGTGGACTGGCCCTGTGATTGGTTCTGATGGGTCCCAGAACTAGAACTTTCTGCTGGGACCCCAAAAGCCACATCCTTACCACAGGCTCAAACTGTGGGTCCAGAGAGAGCACGTGAGGGGAAGCACACGGACTCCCAGCAAGACCCCACTGCTGTACGAGGACCCCCCCGACACACACACACACACACACACACACACAAGGGGGCTCACCGGGGGCCTGTTCACCAGCCAGTACGTCTGCTCCTGGCACGCAATGACCAGCCTGTCCCCCTTCCTGCGCTGCTTAGCTGCCCTGGGGATGGAGGTGGAGGTGGCGGGCTGTGGCGCCCACAACAGCCCCTCCCACACCGCCCCCACCCTCAGGCCGAGCCGGGTGGGCAGCCAAGCCTGGGCAGTGCCCCCTCGGCTCGAGCAGGGCAAGCTCTTACCGCAGCTGCTCCCGAGCCTGCATCACCACCAGGTCCCAAGTGTGGTTGATCTTCCTGTGCAGCTGGTCATAGTGTTCCTGGGGGATGTCGAGGGCGCCAGTGGGTAACCCTTCCCGTGCCCAGCTCAGGGGCGCAGACCAACCACCTCCCCACGGAGACATCTACGGATAACGTGTTTGTGTGTCTGCACTCTCCTGGGGCCTGGGCTGTGTGCTCCAGGGCAAACCGGGAGGCCCGGGGCCAAGGGCAGGTCTTGGGTCCTCGGGCTGGACTCAGCAGGGGGCGGGGGGACCCACCTTCTCATGCCCGACCAGGGCCCCCTGCTTTCGGATGTTCTTCTTTGTCAGGTAGATGGCTGGAACGACAGGGGGCCAGGCTGCAGGGGAGACCTCTCTGCCCCTTGTCTCTCGTGGCATCACTCGGGAGGGAGGGCAGCAAGGCTAGGAACTTGTCCCAGGTTAGCCCACTCCTCCACACTCACCGTAGTCCAGCTCAGCAGCTGGCCACACGGTGCTCGTCCAGAAATAGGGCGTCTAGTATGGTGCAGGAACAGGGCGTCTGGGACCTCCGGGGCCTTCCCCTCCCCAGCTGTGACCACCTTCCCCTATCCCTTGGGAAGGGACTGGGTTGGCCAGATGGTGCCTCAGAACCTGCCTGTCTGCCTACAGCCTGGAGACTTGTCACAGACCACGGGCCATTTTCCGCAGCTGGAGCCTCGCTCCACTCACCCCCTGGGGCCCGGGGCAGGCACTGCTTCCTTGACTGGCCTCCCAGAGTCCCCCGCTGCCTGGTGGGGTGGACAGGGCCTGCCCAAGCCACGCACGTACTCAGTCTGTGCTGAAGACTGGGTGAGGACTGAGAGCAAAGCCTGCCTGGATCCCTGTTGTGGCCTCGGAGGCTGGGCAGGGGAGCTCCACGTGACTGGGGTTACACACCAAGATGCAAGGACCCTGTCCTCAGGCCCCACAGAGGCTCCTTCATGAGCCAGGGCTCATGAAGGTACTATAGTACCTCCCCAGGTACTATACTCTTTATGGGGTCCCTGCTGTGGCCTCAGAGAAACCGCAGGTCTCTCACCTTAACTGGATCCTTCTACCACAGGACACGTACCTTCCAGGACTCGGTGGACCCAGGCCTGAGGTGACATCACCGCTTCCTCCTCCAATGCCAGTCCCCCCTCCCATGAGTCCCCTCTGTCTGGGCTGTTAGTCTGGGGTTCCCCCTTGCTCCCAGCGGCACCTGACCTGAAATCTGTAGGGCGTGTCGTCCAGGCGGAGCACGAGGCTGCGGGGCTCGCGCAGAGGGTACAGATATCCGTGCTGCACTAGCAGAGTGCCCAGGTGCAGGGCCTCTGCAGGGGAGGGGTGCAGGGAGGCGGGCTCTCAGCCTTGAGAACCAAACTCCCCAGAGCACCTGGCTTGCCCTGACACCTGTGAGCCCTGACGAGGCCCAGCCGAGGCCATCAGCACAGCGACCCCAGGGCAGGGGCAGCGGGCAGGGCGAGCTAGGGGCTGACCCCTTACCCTCCTCTGAGATGCAGTACTTCCGGATCAGCCACGCCACGACGTCGCCGCCTGCACAGCAGAGACTGGCATGGGGCAGGGGTGGGCCGCGGAGGGGCGCCCACCAACCCCGGCCTGGCGGCGCCTCACCTGCCGCGGTGTGCGGGATGACGGTGATGAACAGGCGCTGGCTCCGCGTCTTCACGCCCTGGTCGGGGTCCTGCATGCTCACGACCACCCGCTCCATCTGGGCGAGGGGGCACCGGGGGGCGCTGCTCCGGAAGGGCTCCCCCAGCCCCAGACCCGACTCCCCACAACGGGATCAGGGAGCTCAGGGAAGATTACCGCGCCACGGCGGATTTGGGGCCGCGGCGGGGAGCGGGGGCGGGGGGAGGGGAGAAGGACAGGGCCACGCCCCCCGCGCCCCCTCCCGCGGCTCGACGCCCCGCCCCGCCGCACACAGCGCCGCGCCCCCGGCCCCGCGTCCGCACTCGTGCGCGCCCGCACCACCCCTGTCCCGCCGCTCCCCGCCCCGCATGCCGGGAAACCCGGGGAGCGGGGGGCGCGACCCCCACCTGGCACCCACCTTGCTGAGATGCGGCAGCTGCGCACCCTGCCGTCCGCCGGCCATGGCTGCCGAGCGCCAGATGGCGGGGGGGGTGGAGCCGTCCCCGCCCGCGCGCCCGCTCGCCCCGCCCCACCGCCCGGCCGCGGCCCCGCCCCCGGCCGCACGCCCCGCCCCCCGCCCTTCGCCCGGCGAGGTGGGCTCCCCCACCCCGACCCTCCGCGGCCTTATCCTCCGCGCCCGCACGGCCTGGCTCCGGGGTCTGGGGGGGGTCTCCCCCCGCCCCGTCAGGGGACACCGAGGCCCGTGTCCGTGGGAGGGGCCCGCCCCGGATGCTGCGGGCACTGTGAGGGAATCGGGCTCAGCAGGCGCGGGTGGGGGTGCTCAGAGACGGGAGGGTCTCGAGGAGAGGCTCCTGTAGGGCAGGTGGGGTCGGGGGCAGCCGTGTAGGGTCCGCTGCTGCCTCGCACAGCCAGCCCACGGGGGCCCCTCGGGATGCGGCAACACTGGCGGCGGGGCGGGGCGGCGGGGTCAGGGCGAGGGGTCAGTCGGCCCCAGGAGTGTGTCCGCGACGGGGCGCCGCACGGCCCAGCACGTCAGTGCCTCCAGGCTGCTGCGACACCGGACGGCTGCGCGGGTTGCTGGCTGGGGGTCCGTGGAGGCCTGCGGGAAGGCGGTGGGGCGGAAAGCTCACTGCCCCACCCCTGCGCGGAGACCTGGGCAGGACCGCAGGGGACCGGGCAGAGACACCACAGATGCAGGAGCTCAGAGACTGTGGGAGAGGAGCTTTACTGCAGGGGGGGTCCCAGCTCCCAGTCCCCGCCCCCACGTCCCACACACTCGGGAAGCACCTGCAGCTTCCAGGCTCAGGGCCCAGCTTCCCCGCTTTCTTCACCTGCTCCAGCAGCTCGGCCACTACCAACCCAGAGCCCTGTTGCTGGCTTTTTTTTTTTTTTTTTTACTTACTCATTTGAGAGCGAGCCAGAAAGAGCATGAGCGGGGCAGAGGACAGGGAGAAGCAGGAAACCCACTGAGAGGCAGCCCCCAAAACGCAATCTCTATCCCAAGACCCTGAGATCATGACCTGAGTCAAAGGCAGCTGGTTCACCGACTCCCCTATTTTTAAGAAGTTCTAAAAGGTCTGTTTCTGCTCTTTTGAAGATAGAGTCCCCCTCCTCCCTCATGGGGTGCTGGGGACAGGGCAGGATAATTGGGATTGGCCTTTGGCCTACAGCCTTACACTGATCCATTTCCAGTGCTGACAAGGCCAGGTCCAGGATGAGCTGGGGCGGGGGTACAGGGTCGGGGGGGACGGCTACCAGGGTACCCTCCTCCCTTAGATCCCAGCGAATTCCCAACTATCCCCACCACACAGGTATGGGTCAGCCTGGTGCCAGGCCTGACTGTCCTTTCTGGATGGTTGGCTATCTACAGAAGCTGTACGGCAACCAGAGGCCATAGCTGTCCCCAGCCTCGACAAGTGGCTTCCCTGACCACCCCCAACCCCAGGGAAAGGGCAGCAGAAACGGGACCCCAGAATGGCCTGGGTCTCAGCTGGGCGAATCCTACCCTGGGAAAGATTGTGGAGAGGTAGAACTCCAAGGGGGATAGTCTCCACACACGCCTACATGTCCCCTAGTACCCATGCCCCTCCTCTGCAGAAATTTTGGGGGTGCAGGTGGGAGAATCAGAACGTGGTCCCCTGACTGGTCTCTGGTGGGAGAAGGGGGGCTTTGTCCAGGCTAGACACTCAGGGGCAAAGGAGCCAAGAGTGGACAGCGTTCTGTTTGTGAAACCAGGGTGGCAGGCGGACCCTCTCCCTTTTGTTTCAGGCAAAGGTGGGTATGATGCCGGGGTGTCCTCAGAAATTAGGGGGGCAGCAGAAGGGGTATCCAGAAGAAGGGAGGACTCAGGCTGGAGTTCTGCCTCCCCCATCCCCTCCACTCACACCTGTGAGCTTTCCCCAGCCTGACGCCCAGCTCCCCGGTCCCTGCACCGGCTGCCCCCATCTGCCCACCCCAGGGTTGTTTAGGCACCAAGACCAGAAGCGCCCTGTGTGCCCCTCTCTCAGCCCTCCACCCCCAGGATTCTGCTTTGGATGGGTGCCCTTTCCTCTTCAAGGGCAGGGGGCTTGATTACAGTCTGGGCTCTGGTTGCTTGCTCCGGCAGCCCAGTCCATAAACGGTACGGCCATGGCTGTGTGACTCCATGTTGCCTCTCACTGTGAGGGTGGGACCCTGGCCTCTGGGTGGGTGGACACAGGTCCCTCCGTGCGAACGCCTCTGGGACGCGCACTCCCCCGCCCCGCGCCTCCCCCAGCTGCCGGGGCTGGGCAGGCTCCAGGACAGCCCTCTGCCCAGACAGAGGATCGGGTGGGGGCGGGGAGGGAGGGGAAACCGTGAAGCCTCAGGTGCGGCCTGTACCGCCTGCAGGTAACGAGAGCCCAGGGGCCTGGGGGAGGCGGGGAGCACCTGCTCCACTGGGCGCCCCCGGCCCCACCCGCCCCTCCCAGAGGGCTTCCCCGAGAATCCCCCAGACTCTCACGGGCGCCGTGGGGGTGGGGCCGCTCTGATGGACAGAGCGGGGTGCGGGCTGGGCCGGCGGCTGGGACCTTGACCGCGGCGGCAGTGCGGGCTTCTGCGGCGCCCGCGGCGGGGACGACCAGGTGCCGGCGCCGTGCGGGCGACACGCGCGTCTCTGCGGGGCTGCGCGGGGTCCGCGGAGCGGCTGGGGGCGCGCGGCGCGGGCGCGGCGCTGGGCGCGGGGGGCGCTCCCGGCCGGGATGAGCTCACCGCAGTCGCGCCGGGGCTGAGCGCCGAGCCGGGCGGCGGCGGGGCGGGCGGCGGCTCCTCGGCGGCTCCGCGGCGGAGCCGGGCCGCGGGCCACCATGCTGGGCCTGGACGCCTGTGAGCTGGGGGCGCAGCTGCTGGAGCTGCTCCGGCTGGCGCTGTGCGCCCGAGGTGAGCGGGCTGGGCTGGGGCCAGGGTGGCCACGTGGGTGGGGGTCTCGGGCGGGGAGGGGGGTGTCGGGGAGGCTTCAGCCTGGGGCGGGGGCTGGGCCTCCCCCCGCGGAAACTTTGGGGGCGCGCGTGGGGAAATCCTGGCGCGGTCCCCCTACTGGGCTCTGGCGGGGGTGGGGGTCTTCGTCCAGGCCAGACACTCGCGGGCAAAGGAGGGGAGAGTGGGCGGGTCTGTTTGTGAAGCCAGGGTGGCAGGGGGACCCTCTCCCCTTGGGAACCTGCCCCTGAGATTCCCTCTCCCTTGGGTGGGGCTGGAGCTCCTTCAGGGCGTGGGGTGATCCTTGAGAAGCCTGGAGCACAGTGGGAAAGACCCTGTCCCAGAACTGTGGGAAGGGGCTTAGAGAGACCCCTGCCCCAGGGCACCATGGGAAGGGGCTGTGAGTCTGAATGCGCGCAGGGAGGCAGCCCCAGAGCACAAGCTGAGGGGTTTAGAGAGCACCACCCTGACGCCCCAGGAGCACCACTGGGAAGAACCCCTAGGACAGGGGAGGGCATAGGGGGATGTGAAGAGGTGTGGTGAGCAGAGCCTCTGCTCTAGGGAAGACCTCGGAGGTCACCAGTCCACAATGGTGGCCTCCAGTCCGTGGGGCTAACCCCGTTTAGGGTCTTCCCCCGCACCCCCCCATCTTTGGCCTCAGAGTCAGGGAGGAGCCCTAGGTGGATGGCTGGGCCAGAGAAGGCAGCTCTGCCTCAGGGATGTCGCTTGGCTCCGTCTCAGGAGCCTTCTGCACCCCCCACGGGCCTCCCTAAAGGGTTCGGGTGTGGGTGCCGCTCGGTCTCTCCCCAGCCCGCCCCTGCCCCCGAGCGCACCCCCCTTCCCTGAGCCTCCATTGCTTCCTCTGAGTTCCTGGGGGCACTGAGAGGCACAGCTGGCCAGCCGGGGGGCCTCCAGTTTGATGTGTGAATGCCGGGTCAGCCGCTGGCCGCCGTTCACGCACCTCCCCAACCCCCAGTCCTCCTGACCGACAAGGAGGGGAGACAGCTGCCCCCTGACGAGGCCCTGGACGAGGCTGTGCCCGAGTACCGGGCCCCGGGGAGGAAGAGCCTGCGAGAGATCCAGCAGCTGGACCCGGAGGATGAGAGCCTGGCTAAGTACAAGCAGGCACTGCTGGGGCCCCTGCCGCCGGTTGTGGGTATGCGCCGCCCAGGGCTTGGGGGGCCGCCGGTTGTGGGTATGCGCCGCCCAGGGCTTGGGGGGCCAAGGGGGAGGGAGGCACTCCGGTGACTTCCGGTCTCTCCTCAGACCTGAGCCTGCCCAACGTGCAGGTGACCAGGCTGACGCTGATGTCAGAGCAGGCTCCGGGGCCCATCATCATGGACCTCACAGGTACTGCCCCCCATGGGGCTCCTGGGGCAGGGTCTCCGCTCTCCCAGGAGGTCCTTCCCTAGCTGCCCTTTCCCCGACAGGGGAGCTGGCCGTGCTGAGAAACCAGGTGTTTGTCCTGAAGGAGGGTGTTGATTACAGAGTGAAGATTACCTTCAAGGTGAGGGCAGCTGCCCTGGGGGACACCTGCCAGCACAAGGTCAGCCCCCCAGAGGGGCCCTAACACCCTCTGTCTCTCAGGTCAATAAGGAGATCGTCAGTGGCCTCAAGTGTCTGCACCACACCTACCGGCAGGGCCTGCGTGGTGAGGGCGGCGAGGAGGGGCTGCTGGGGGAGGGGGGCTGTGGGGAGGGGCAGATGGGGCAGAGGGTGGCCCTTGACGGCCTCCCCCTCTCCTAGTGGACAAAGCCGTGCACATGGTGGGCAGTTACGGCCCGCGTGCCCAGGAGTATGAGTTTGTGACCCCGCTGGAGGAGGTGCCCCGAGGAGCATTGGTGCGGGGTGCTTACGTGGTCACGTCCTTCTTCACCGATGACGACAGGACGGACCACCTGTCCTGGGAGTGGGGCCTCCACATCTGCCAAGACTGGAAGAGCTGAGCGCCCCCCACCCCAGAGACCGTCCTCCCACTTGGAGTCCTGCTTTTCCCCGCCCCTCCGTCAGTGATCACACCCCCCTCCCACACCCTCTGCTCCGTCCTGGGACGCCCCCTCCCTGGGCTGGCACTGTGCCCTGAACAGTCCTA